AGAAGAAAGCACTAATAGGAGTCATCAGGGTCGGAGTCGAATAAGCGGGGGAGTCATCAGGGTTGGACTCGGGTTGGAGTCGTCAGAGTCGAATAAGCGGGGGAGTCATCAGGGTCGGAGTCGAATAAGCGGGGGAGTCATCAGGGTCGGAGTCGAATAAGCGGGGGAGTCATCAGGGTCGGAGTCGAATAAGCGGGGGAGTCATCAGGGTCGGAGTCGGAATCTGATTCCTCCCCTCCACTCGCGCATCCCCTAGCATCCTCCCATGACTGAACTTGGCCAGCCCATCCCCTAGCGTCCTCCCATGCCTGAACTTGGCCAAAGAAAGAACCGAATAACGTGACTTTCGTCTGGTTTTGCCTCTTTTTCGTCTTCCCTCTCTTATAGCTCCTCCTTCGTCTCCTCCTCTATTTGCTCTGGTTCCTCTTCTGCCTGCGCCTCCGACTCTACCTCTGCCTCCTCCTCCATTTGCGTTGGTTCCTCTTCTGCCTTCTCTTTCGGCTCCTCCTCCTTCGAGTCCTCCCCTCTTTGCTCTTTTCCTCCTCCATTCTCCGGCTGCTCCTCCTCCTCCTTCGAATCCTCCCCTATTTGCTCCGGTTCTTCATTCTCCAGCTGCTCTCCTTCCCTATTTGCTCTGGTTCTTCATTCTCTGGCTGCTCTCCTTCCCTATTTGCTCCGGTTCTTCCTCCATTCTCCGGCTGCTCTCCTTCCCAATTTGCTCCGGTTCTTCCTCCATCCTCCGGCTGCTCCAACTCCTCTGGCTGGTCTGATTCTATCTCTTCTTCCTATATTTTCGGAGTTTTGGGGAGCTTGCCACTTCTTTCTCCCTTTTTTTTTGGGTCCATTGTGGGAGAAGATAAAGATAAGAGGAGAGAAGGTTAAGAGATAAAAGTGGGGAGGGGAGGGGAGGGGAGGGGAGGGGAGAGAGAAGGGAAAGAATAGTGAGAGAAATGAGAGTAATGAAGAGGAAAAGACATACGCATGAGAGATAGGGTCCCCATGCAAATCCTTCTATGAAACCATGGAAGAAGCATGCCAACATGTAAACCATGTCTTCATGGGAGAAACATGGTAAACCATGTGTTCATGGAAGAAACATGGCAACTATGTGTTTATTTACTAAAGACAATATATGGATCACATGTTATTTTTTTATATTATTTCAGAAAATGTAAATTATAGTCTTAAAACTCAAATTCTATAAAATCTGTTAAATATATAAAGGTGATTGAAATTATATAATCAAGAAAGAATAATAATTAATAAACTGATTTAAATTTAAATTATTACTATTTTTTATTATAGAGGGCATATATTCCACGTTTTCAATTATCCACTGTTTAAAAACCTGGATCAGCAAGGTGAAACGCCCATCCAGGAAATCGGTTGTTTGGGTGGGTGAGTCTCCGACCGGGTCTATGATCCGACTGAGAGAATCTACCAGTAAAAAATTACTAGAAAAAATTAAAAAAAAAAAATGTGGGGCTGGATTGACCGGTTCACTGACATAACCATCATGTTCTCTCAAAGAACTAGCCGATTTCTGATACATAGAGGTAATTGACCTAGTGCCCCCTAAAAATAGATTTAGATGCGGCGATTCTAAGTTGGATCAACATTGTCTTAAAAGCATTGCTATTCTTTTATCTAGCACTTTGAAGTGTTCAAATTGGTTGCAACTTAGTGTATCAAAAGCTTTATTTATGAAAGTGTGTTCCAAAAGAAATTACATTGATATTATGTTCAAATTTTAACTTGAATTAATCGTTAATAATTAGAAAATATTTGTTCTTTAATAATTAACTCTTTTCCAAAATATAGTGATTAGCAAAATTATAATTTGACAAAGTTTATAATTATTATGTAGTTTAGAAATTCAATGATTTTGTTATTTCCAATTGACTACGTTTTATGAGCAATGATTTCATGCAACGGTTGTATAGTAATATGATGCAACAACCTTCAAAAACTATGGTATGGCCATTTGTTTGATCCAAAATTTGAAATATGCACTCTTTTCATTCTAATGAACAACCACAAAAAAGAAAATTTTGAAAACACAAACTAGAAAGTATTTTTTAGCCCAATTAACATAGGCCGTTCATTTTTGTGAGATGCTTGGATCTAGGCCTTAAAAGGAGTTTTCATTTCCAATTTTTTTGGATGGCTTTATTATCATTAGATGAACAATGTTAAAAAAGAATAAAATTATTTTGATTTTATAAAAGCTAATATCTTGAAATTCACCAAATGAATGGTGTAGATTCATTTTTGGAGGAATCCATTTTGACCATATCTAGGATTCAAATTGAACTTTTTTTATTTTTGGATTGATTATTGAGATGAAGAGAGCGTGTGTGCAAAATTTTGGATCCTACAAATACCACAAATATGATTTTCTAGATGTGTCATTGCATCATACTTTGATACAACCGTTACATGAAATCACTGCCCAAGTTTTATATATGAAGTAAAAAATTCAAAATCACACAGAAATTATAAATTTTACTCATAAAATGAGAATTTATTCCTTTTGAAATTTTGATGATTAATTTTTATTCAAAAGGCAAGACACATTTAAATTTATGTTTTCTAGTCAATTTCGTCTTGTGTAAAAGTAGTTAATTGACGGTAGTGATCTCATGTAACGGTTGTATTATAGTATAATGCAACCACACTTCTAGAAATCTATGTTTGTGGTATTTGTATGACTTAAAATTTTGTACACATTCTCTTCATCTCAATAATCAATCCTAAAAAAAAAATGTTGTATTTGAACCTTAGATACGGTCAAAATGAGTCCCCTCCAACAATGAATCTAGACCATTCATTTGGTGAATTTCAAGATCTTAGCCTTTACAAACTCAAAATCATTTTTTTCTTTTTTAATATTGTTCATCTAATGATAAATAAGCCATCTAAAAAAATTTTAAAAGAAAAAATTCATCTAAGGCCTAGATCTAACCATCTTATCAAAATGGACGGCCTATGTTAATTGAGCTAAAAGAATACTTTTTAGGTTCCATTTTCGAAATTTTCTTTTT